ATACCGAAATCTATTAAAGCTGTCAGGGGATTTTTGGGTTTGACAGGGTACTATCGGCGCTTCATACTGAATTATGGACGCATTGCACAGCCGCTAACTCAGCTATTAAGGGTTTGACAGGGTACTATCGGCGCTTCATACTGAATTATGGACGCATTGCACAGCCGCTAACTCAGCTATTAAAGAAGGAAACAGCTGCTGATTTTCAGTGGAACTCACAAGCACAAGCCTCTTTTGATGCCCTCAAAGCTGCCATAATTTCTTCTCCAGTTTTAGCTATGCCAGATTTCTCAAAACCCTTCATTGTTGAGACTGATGCTTCAAAATCTGGAGTTGGTGCTGTACTAATGCAAGATAATAAACCAATTGCTTATTTCAGCAAGGCAACTGGCAACCCTGCAACAACCAGATCAGCTTATGAGAATGAGTTAATGGCTGTAGTCCTTGCAATAAGACACTGGAGGCCATACCTTATCGGTCGTCGATTCACTATACGAACCGATCAGCGTAGTTTGCGTCATCTATTGCGTCATCTATTGCACCAAGAGGTATCCACCCCTGCTCAACAATACTGGTCAGCCAAAATTATGGGTTATGACTTCGTCATTGAATACCGCCCCGGCAAAACAAATAAGGCAGCAGATGCCTTATCACGAAAGGACGAAGAATTGACTCTTCAAAGCATCTCTATCCCTCAATGGATTGATTGGGATACAATTACTGCTGAAATTCAACAAGATGCCCACCTTTCCAGTATCATTTCAGCTCTCTCTTCTCCGAGTACAGCTCCAGCCCACTATTCGATCATTCACGGTCGCCTCTTCTACAAGGGCAGGTTAGTACTTCCATCATCTTCTAGCTGGATACCAAAATTAATTTCTGAGTTCCACTCAACTGCTGTGGGGGGTCATTCTGGTGCTTTCCGAACTTACCGAAGAATTGCATCTAACTTCTATTGGAAAGGGATGATGGCTATGATCCAAGACTTTGTTGCTTCTTGTATTATTTGTCAACGACACAAATATGAGGCTCAATCACCAGCTGGTCTATTGCAGCCTTTACCTGTACCTCTTCAAGTTTGGGAAGATACTGCACTTGACTTCATCACAGGATTACCCAAGTCTAATGGGGTTGACTGCATCCTTGTGGTTGTCGATCGCCTATCCAAATATGCTCATTTCATCCCTCTTCGGCATCCATTTACAGCTGCCAAAGTTGCTGAACTGTTTATCAGAGAGGTGGTTCGCCTTGCCCAAAGTTGCTGAACTGCTCATTTCATCCCTCTTCGGCATCCATTTACAGCTGCCAAAGTTGCTGAACTGTTTATCAGAGAGGTGGTTCGCCTCCATGGCATTCCGAGGTCTATGGTTAGTGATCGAGACCCTTTATTCTTAAGCAGCTTTTGGACTGAATTATTCCGCCTACAGGGTACGCAACTCAAGTTCAGCTCCTCTTATCATCCTCAAACGGATGGACAAACAGAAGTCCTTAATAGGAGCTTGGAATCCTACTTGCGGTGTTTCTCCTCTGACCAACCAAAGTCATGGAGCAAATGGCTATGTTGGGCAGAGTACTGGTATAATACAAATTTCCATGGAGCCACCAAGTTGACACCGTTTGAAGCTGTCTATGGCCGTAAACCTCCTACTCTACATCAATTCTTGCCAGGTGAATCTCGAGTCGAAGCCTTGTCTCAACACCTCTGCAATAGCGATGAAATTCTTAGGCAGCTGAGGTTTAATCTACACAGAGCACAGCAGCTAATGACAAAATACGCGAACAAAAAGCGTAGGGATGTCCAATTCTCTATTGGAGACAAAGTCTTCTTGAAACTTCGTCCTCACCGTCAACAATCTGTAGCTACCAGAGTTAATGCTAAGCTGGCTGCCAGGTTCTATGGGCCATTTGAAATCATTGACAAGATTGTTGCAGTCGCTTACAGGCTGAAACTCCCTGCAGACGCCAAGATACACCCTATTTTCCATGTCTCACAGCTGAAAAAGGTTATTGGCAACCACTCTGTGTTAGATACTTTACCGAAGAATTTACACAGCCATGAGGCACCTCTGCTCCAGCCTGAAAAGGTCTGCCAAAACCGTACAACAATGATCAACAATCAGCCAGCTCGCCAATTATTAATACAATGGCAAGGAAAGACAGAAGATGAAGCAACCTGGATCGATGAAGCTGATATGTTGGGGCAATTTCCTAATTTCAGCCTTGAGGACAAGGCTTGTCTCGCAGGGGATGGTAATGATAGGACTGTTGAGAAAAGCCCAAGGCCCTACAAGGTTTATTCTAGAAGAAACAAAGAACAAAGAGGGCAGCAAAGGAATTAGCAACAGAAAACAAAGAACAAAGAGGCAGCAAAGGAATTTAGCACACACTGCTGGACACATTCAGCACGATTCTGTTAGGGGAAATATATATTATAGCTAGGATTGGAATGATGAGGCATCGAAATAAGATCATTACGGAGTTTGTTATTTTTGCAGGGGGTTTCTCTCTGATTGTAATCGGGCCTTGGTACCTTATGGGGTTGCTTGCAACCATTCTTTTATTTCTATTTTCTTCCCCTTTCTGTTGTTTATCTTTCCCTGTTCTTCAATCAAGGTTCACTGCCTGTAAATCTGAATTTCTCATTTTAATGGAAGTTCCAATCTCTAATTTTCATTCTAAAATCTCTATTCTCTCTTTCTCTTTCTTTTTACTTATCTCTGCTGCGTTCTAACTCTAACACATCGGGCTGGTCCTGGGGGTTGCTTGCAACCATTCTTTTATTTTATTTTTTCCCTTTCTGTTGTTATCTTCCCTGTTCTTCAATCAAGTCCTGCCTGTAAATCTGAATTCTCATTTAATGGAAGTTCCAATCTCTAATTTCATCTAATCTCTATTTCTTCTTCTCTTTCTTTTACTTATCTCTGCTGCGTTCTTAACTCTAACACATCATCAAACTAAGCTTCTCAAAGTTAAGTCTTGAAAATAAAATTGTAATTAGTTATTTTGATTCTTATTCCTAGGAATGCAACCACCTTCTCAAGCCCCATTAGTGAATTTCAAAGATAATGTTGAATTGTAGAAACCATTAGGATTGTATCCACCTTACATGGAACATTTAATGCTTTTCACTTTTTGACTGTCCTGCTCTTTCAGCACCTAACTGTGAGGAGTGCGAGCATCGCCATAAGCAAAATGTAACAAGCATATGCTTGTTGCTAACCCTGTTACTCTTTGATTTTGAAGTTCAAGAACTGGATCTAAATGTGCTCCTGCCCTCGAGTCATTCATTCAATGGAATAAAATTTCTGGCGATTCTACTGAATGATCATGTCTGCTACTTTTCCTTATCCCCTCCATGCCTTCCCAATTTAAAGAATTTGTTAAGTGTATGAGATGATGACAATACTGTTTGTAATAAATGGAAGAGAAAATATGCTTTTAAAGGACAGGACACTTCACTACAACTAATAATTATGATTTTGTTATGTTTTAAATTACTTTCAACTAATTAGTTTAGCATTTAAGACTGCTAACCTCATGTATGAATTACATGCAATTAATGAATTAACCATGACTTAATGGCTGTAATAGCCATTAACAATCATTACTATCAAGTAAACCCTGAAAAGCATTTTGATGATGATCTGAATCGGACGTTACTATCAAGTATACTGTAGCAGAAACTTCAAATGCTATCATGTGCCGACTTCTCTTGAAACTATGTTATTGACAAGGCCATACCTCTAATTACTCATACTACTTAGTGATAAAAGCTATATAAATTTATAATATTCCAGTAAGTGTTGTTGCAATTAGCAGTTTCGTTGAAAAAAAGCGAAGCATCTTACAGACAAGCATCTTAGAGACTATGTGCACGGTAATGGTAGTACTGCCATTAGATTTCCAAAATTCTCTCATGCTAGATTTCATCAGATGGAAGATGGTTGAAACTGAAGAAAACGTTGTTGTTAGCTTTTCATTAATAGTTTTTGATACTGCTAATCGTCATTGTATTCATTTGAAAACACGAATGTTATCACTTGAAGCTGTTCAGTAGTAAGAGGATGATACCTATTCTGTAGTACTCAGATAGAAATCTAATCCACAGAAAATGTACTACTTTCAGCATGATTATTCTGTGTAACAGTAATAATTGTATCTGAAAATATGCATTTCCTTGCAGTCCGGCACACCAATCGCAGGAATTATGTCTCTGTGTCAATTTGAAATGTCCCTTCCTTAGTCATCTATGGAACCCGAACAAGCTAAAGTCTTGATGATATTTGGAACCAAATCATCCATATATCTGGCTAGAATATATCTTGAAAAGCAAATTAGGCCTGCCACAAAAACTTTGCCAGCAAATTACTGGGTAATGCTAACCTATATCACAGACCACTCAGTAATTCATGGAAATGGAAATTACTGTCTGCTTCAAATTTACAAAACATTGATATAGCATAATACACAAGATGCTTTTTATTCTTCTTTCTGTAGAAGTAGGATATGTTAGACAGGGATAAACTTGTAAATTCAAATCTGATGTATATATTTATTTTGTTCTTTTATAAAACTGATAATGCTCTGCCATCAAGTTCTGTAGTTTTATTTGCATTATCTATTCTATTTATATATAAACAAAGGTTGATGAAACAATCTCTCCCTGTGCATTCAACACAACTTAATACCTTGACTGGAAAAGGTTCTGGTCTAACATTTAACATTGTCTAGTTTAACAAGTCTGTTTTGGCACAAAGTGCATTATCGAATCATCTTTGACTAGAAACAAGGCTTGTGTAATGATTTTTCAGTTTTCATGGATATACTTTCATTTTAATAGACTTGGTGATGGTTAGTCTTCCTCCATGCTTGTAATATTAATATCTAATAAAATTGTTAGTTGTGATAGATTGGAAAGTTGCTGCGTTCTTGATATTATTTTCCTCTCACTGGTATGATCTGCAAAATTTTTACATGTAAGTGAATTGTATTCTGGACAGGGGCTGCTATTTCCAGGTTGGGAATTCAGTGAAGCTTGGTATGTCAATTCCTACTGCCTTCAGAATAGCACTGGACACTTGGGCATTATGGGTGCAGAACGCGATTGACACAAATAGAACACGTGTCTTCTTTAGGACTTATGAGCCATCTCACTGGAGGTACTTCTTCAATACTGAGACAGTGATGTGAACACGAGCCTTTTCTGTTTCCCAGTTTGTACCTATTGTAAAACTACTTTGTTTGTGGGTGCAAACTTTTCTTGAAGCCCATTGTTCCCTTCTCATTGAAGATAATATTATATTTTTGCTTCAGCCTTTTATCTCTTCGACAAGCACAACTTCTCTACTTGGGTTGTGCATGTATCCTCTTAAAAGCATAACAAATTTGACTCTTATGATTTTACTTCAGTCTTTGGCTATAGTCCATGGGGGAAATTCTACCATTTGGCTTTTTATAATCTTGTAGTTTATTCTTTTTTACCCTTCCTGCTAGATTTCATTGCAAGTGGCACATACTCTCTTCGACATGACTAATAATGGTCTTTGTTGTCTGCATCAGCGATAAATTCCACAGGTTTTGTAATGTAACTAGGCAGCCAGCATCAAATACAGAAGGGAGGAACAGAAGTATATTTTCAGACATCACAATGGAGGTGGTAAAAAAAATGACAGTTCCTATAACCATACTTCATATAACATCAATGTCAGCTTTCAGGAGTGATGCACATGTTGGCAAGTGGAATGATAACTTACCTATACCTGATTGTAGCCACTGGTGCTTACCTGGAATACCAGATATGTGGAATGAAATTTTACTCTCTCTCCTGCTTTACCAACCATAGAAGTTCTTGCTAATGGTGATGTGAGTGTCAGCTCTTTACTGCCTTCTGCTATTATTCCTTCAACTTTGCTTGGGTGCTTTTCAGCATACTTGGCAATGTCTGCTGTGTTTGTCTGTGTGTTTGACCAGACAAAGATTGAATTTGAATCTCCTTTAGGCTAGAGTTGTAATTCAGTTGAGTCGATACACTATAGAGCTTGAACTCGACTCAATTCGAAAACTTGAGACTCAGAACTTGATTTTGAGTTCAATAAATCTCTTGCCCAATTACTGTGATTGTTCTAAATGAAAACCAGAGTAGCTGACTGCAGCATAATGACATTAAGTTTGCTTTTCATTTAGCAGCATAATGTTATCCATTACCATCGATCCTTGATACCTATAAGAGGTAATGAAATTTTATTTAATGCTGTTAAAAACCATCTTTTGCTTTCTCTTCTTACCCAATACCTTGGTTGTGTAGGTTTGGGAGGGTTAACTAGAGCACAGTAGTCCCAATGCCTTCTAAAGTCCAGTGTCTTATTTTCACCTCGTCTTAACACCATTAATGCCAACTGAAATTCTTGATATTCTCCGACAAATAAAACCTTAGGCCTCAGTGTAAAAAAGAACAGAATTAATTACTGACATCACTCCATTTTTGTTATTGTGATTGCAATCAATATTTCGTTTGCACTGAAAGGCGGTGCGTTTGTAACAGCATTTCAATTATCTTTCATAAATGCAGATTCCGGACATGCACAGAACTGAACATTGGTTGATATCTGTGAAAGGAGCAATCAGAACCTCTGGTCTGCAAGGTGTGCTTGTCTCAATGGCAGGCCATAACGCTGGAGTATTGGGTTTGGATTCTCTCTTCATCTCTCTTCATTTTCTCTAGGTATCCTGTGGCAGTTTCTGCAAATATCCTGCAAACGTTGATTTTTCATGGGCTTCCCAAGGGAAATATAGAATTACACAGAAGATACCTTTTTTTTTTTTTTTGGGAGACTAACTTTTTCATTCGTTAACCAATTGTTCATTACGAGTGAAGGGTGTCTGTTCAGTATGTAACAATATTTTTGTTGTATATTTTTGGCAAAATTTTTGTTGAAATGCTAAAAAGAAAAGGAAATGAAACAGAAATTCACTTTTGTGCTATATAGAAGGCCTGTTTTCAATGGTTACATCTCCTCTCCCATTCTATAGCATAAGAGAGAAAAACCAGCACTTACGCCAGCTTCCAATGTTCCCTATCATGGAAATACTTTTTTGACCATTACATATATAAAAGTAAGCACGCATTAATAGTCATTGTTTCAGGTATCAATACCAGTAGAATCATCTAATTTCTGATTTCAGGTCATGGTTCAAAATTAAAGTAACATTCTATTTTTGGATGAGCAAAATAACAAGGCTCGATAACTTAAGAGAGCATTTGCAGACCCGTTGGTTGGGAATATCTGGGATTTATTTCTGTTCACCGAAAGCAGGGGCATGGACAAGTTAAGTTACTAGGATAACTGGATTTAATTCATAAAATATTTGAAATTTAATCGACTTGGGTTCAAGGTACTACCTAGATTCAAGTCAATCTTGCTTCCTTTTTTTTTTTTTTTTTTTTTTTTAGACCCGTTGCGTTGGGAAATATCTGGGACTTTATTTCTGTTCACCGAAAGCAGGGGCATGCGACTAAGCTTAGTATACTAGGTAACTGGATTTAATTCATAAAATATTTGAAATTTTAATCGGACTTGGTTTTCAAGTACTACCTCAGATTCAAGTCAATTCTTGCTTCCTTTTTTTTTTTTTTTTTTTTTCTTTTTGGAGCATTCTATTTTATATAATCTTTATTATATGATTACATAACAAATTTAAATAGAATTCTGATCTTTTTTTTTTTTTTTTTTTTTCTTTTTGAGCATTCTATTTTATATAATTTTATATATGATTACATAACATTTAAATAGAAGCTGATTTGATATTTATTTTATCATTGATAGATAAAACTTATTGAGCTTATGTGATAAGGGACTCTTGCAGGAGACACTCTTGCAAGAGATTGAACTCCTAATTTCGCCCTAAAAGCTATCTTGTAGAAAAAAGATTGAACTCAGCCTTATACACTAGTCCGGGATGTACTCCGCGGGCGATGTGGGACGCATCATTATGTATAGTTTTGAGGCTTGAGTTGAGCTCTAAATAATTTTCCGCAGGCTTGGAATAAAATTGTCTTGAGACCTACGCCCACAAGCTGTCTATGTAAAATAAGAATAGCTTCTGTAGAATAATATTCATACTAAGAAAGAATGAAAACTTGTGACTAGTAAGTAATTAACAAATAAAACAAAGAAGTGTTTTTTAATTCAATCAATGACAGCTCTTAAAAATCTTGGCATGACAGTCAAGTAACTAAAAGCTTAGAAGCATGCAAATCATTAGACAATTCCAAATCCCACTCATCAGTCCAAACTACAAATAGGCAGGCCATATTCTCCACATCTCAGCACCAACATAACACAATCTATCAACTATCGTACCTTTCTCAGATTGAAATGGCTCATATTGATAATTATAACTTCCCTTACTTTCCTCTTCCTCCACCACATAATCCTCTGCCTCCCCCATATGTTTCTCCATCCCCTCCGAAAGTGCCCCCTTCTCAAAAGCCCCCACCATCTCCAAAAGTGGCTCCACCTCATAATCCTGTTATGCCCCCACCATTCCCAAAGCCAGGAACTCCGCCCAACCATCCATTTCATCCACCTCCATCTCCAACAGTGGCACCACCACATAATACTCCCCCCTCCCCTCCAAGAGTAGCTCCACCACATAATCCCATTATGCCGCCACCATCTCCAACAGTGGTACCGCCTCATAATACTCCCTCCTCTCCACAAGTAGCTCCACCACATCGTCCAATTGCGCCACCACCACCATTCCCAGTACCTGGAACACCACCCAATCATCCCCCAGCCCCTGCAGCAAAACCACCCAGTCACCCAAACTTCCCCCCACCACCACCCCATCCTATTTCTCCCCCATCACCTCATCTTGTTCCACCCTCACCCCCAACACCAGGACATCATTCAACTGTCATAGTGATTGTATTTGTCTCGCTTGGTGGTCTGTTCTTTCTTGCATTTCTCTCTGTTGCTCTCTGCTGCTTCGTTAAGAAGAGAAAGGAAAAAATAGTTCAGAAAACTGAACTCATAGATTTTGATGAACACACGAAAGTTCAGGAGGCCATTGTACCAGGACCACATGGTGAGAAAACCAAGATACTAACCATTGAAGAGGATGTACACTTTGACGAGGTGATTAAGAAAAATGAAAAAGTGCGTCAAGGTTCACACACAAAATCGTCACACCAACATCCTCAGGTTTATGATTTGGCAGCCTCCTCTTCCACCTCCAATCAGAAATATCTTGAGCACAAACTCTGATTACAAAGCAAATAATGAAATAAGTTGCAGCGTAATCATATATTTTTTAATCCAATGTCCTTAATAAGATGGTACTTGAAAATTCTCTCTATTCTTTCGGAAGGTTGTCAAAAATGTTTTGATGCAATAATAAGTAAAGCTTGTGATATGCTGATTTTAATTGAAATCCAAACAAACCTTTCAAGAAAATTAAATCCAGAACTATCAATATTGGGGTAGAAAGAAGAAATGGAAATGACACAAAATCTAGAGTAGTGGTATACTTGCATAATTTTGCCACCACGATAGTTGAGCTATAATTGCATGATATCAGTGTCCTGATATGAGTAGGCAGAGTTCATCCAACATCAAAATCAACATGAAACATGAAACATGAAAGTGAACCTTATGCAATATATACCTCTCCATAATTAATTCTTTGGGGTATTGTTGTTTGCAAAATTTTGTACAGTTAGTGTTCCTGGAAATCACAAGGCAATGCCATCACCTTGATCATGTGATCTAATGTATCGCATATCAAATTTGTCTGTGTATGGGAATTGTCCCCTTGGTAGAATTTACATATTGTTCCCGCAATGGTTATCCAGCTACAACCAGGAGTTTTCACCAGACCTAGTTCTCTCATCCTTGTTCTAATTCTTATTATGCCATCCCAAATACAGTGAGATTCATAAATATGAAATAAGGCTATGTAATTGCTAGAGTTTCTCGGCTCCATTTCAAAAAGATGATGAGCTGCTATTTCTCCAATCTTGACATTCTTGTGCATCACACAACCAGCTAGCAGGGCACCCCAGACACTTGCTGTTGCTGCTAATTTCATATTCTGTACCAATCCAAGTGCTTCTTCAATATGTCCACAGCGACCCAAAATATCAACCATGCAAGCATAATGCTCTATGCTAGGTTCAAGCCCACAATCTGGCAATATGGAATAAAATATCGTGCGGCCTTGATCTATTAGACCTGAGTGACTGCAACTAGCCAAAACGGCAGTTAGGGTAACAGGGTTAGGTTTCAATCCACAATCTTTCATTTTCCTGAAAAGATCCAGTGATTTCCCTCCTTTCCCATGAATTCCATAACTAGATATCATTGCAGTCCATGTAACCACATTCCAATTTGGCATTCTACTAAAAACCTTCTCTGAATTACCCAAGCACCCACATTTTGCATACATATCGATCAATGAATTCCCAATTGCCACATCTCCATCAAACAGAACATTCTTTAAAACTTGCCCATGAATTTCCTTTCCTTTCATCAAGTCACCCCCTCCACCACAAGCATTCAAAATACTTGGAATAGTCATAGCATCGACCTTTACCCTTTCCATAACCATACTTCCAAACAAACTGTAAGCCTCTGCACAGAAACCAGCCTTCCCATATGCTGAAATCATCAGATTCCAAACACCAGAATCCTTCAATGGCATGCCAGAGAAAACTCTCTTTGCATCGACCAATTGCCCATATTTCACATAAAAATCCAAAACAGCCGTACCCACAATAACATATCCTTCAAGACCAAGTCTAATCACCCACCCATGAAGCACCCACCCCAGATAACAATCTCCTCCTCCAACAGATGCCTTAAACAACTGAGGCAAGGTATAGTGATCCGGTCGAAAACCAAGCTTTAGAAACTTATGAAAAACACTAATAGCATCAGAATAAAGAAAATTCTGCACATACGAAAACAACATAATGTTCCATGAATGCATGTTTTTGTCACACATTCTATCGAACACTTTGCGAGCATCTTGAAGAACCCCGGATCTAGAATAAGCTAACAGGAGATCAGTTTGGAGAGTGACATCGGTAAGGTAGTCATTTACAAGGATTTGGGCGTGGGTTTGCCTGGCCGGAGAAATTGCATAGTGAAGAACAGAGTTTCGCAGCGGAGAAGAAAGGTGGCGAACTGTTTTATAAGACATCGATTTGAGTTCTTTGAATGTTTGAATTCAACTGTCCAGTAATAAGCTCATGGCCACCGGTTCTGAACCGAACCGTATTATCAGACCAAAACTATTGGTTTAAAATTTTGAACAGAAATTTGTCCATGACTGCATAAAGTTTACATGAATGTTAAAATATGAATACGGAAGTGGTCCAGAATTAGTGGTTATTCTATATGCTATTCTGAAAATTTTAAAAGCCTATTTTGAAAATTTTCTAATCCCATTCTGAAAATTTTCTATTTTTTATAATCATTTAGGCTATTCTATATGCTTTTAAAAGTCTAAATAAATCTTTTATTTCATGATACACTTTATTTAAAAAATTAAAAATTTTTAAAAATAACATGGTAAAAAACAAAATATTTAGTTTAATTTTTTTTACTTAGTTCAAAATTACATTATTTGAAGCATTTTTCAAATTTTTCTATAATTTATTTAATTAACGTTTAGACAAAATAAAATAAAAATTTATTTGATTATTTTGTATTTGTTTGTAAGTTAATTAATTTTATTTTTGGCACGCTCTCAAGCTAAGCTATTAGAGGCACGCACAGTGGCGACACCACTATTGCTAATTTCAATTCTTTTTTATTTCTAAATTGTTTTTGCTAAGGTTCATTGATGCCTCAAAAAATACACTGTGGAAATGAATATGTTGGATCACTGGACTCAGAAGAAGTTTCTGCTGCAATCCTTGTGGAGCTTAAACACCTAAACAGACTTCAGTATTCCTTGAAGTTCGGATTTAAGTAGTGCATCCGAACTTAAGCAACTTAAATTAGGGCTGCACATGAATCAGATTGGGTCAAATTTATTGATTTAAAGTACCTGACTTGTACATACGGGTCAATAATTTTGACCTAACTCAACTCATTAAATGCGTAATCCTGAGGGTTAAAAATAGATTGGATACGGATTAAACGTAAACTCGCGGGTCAAATAAATAATAATAATAATAATTAAAAAATAAGATTGGATACGGATTAAACGTAAACTCGCGGGTCAAATAAATATAATAATAATAATAAATAATAATATTTTTAAATAAAATACAACTCTTTAAGAGGATTACTAAAAAATAAAATATACTTTAAAACTTAATTATACAATAATTTTCACAAACTACAAATATATTCCAATGACAATGTTAAAATTAAATTTCTTAACATGATCATTATTATCATCATCATAATCATAATCAACGATAAAAAATTAAATTTTCTAATAAAAAAGACAGCCAGTAAAATTAAAAATACTTAGTAACATAATTATATAATATGTTTTAAAGTACAATATGCTCCAATAACAAAGGTAATATCTACTAAATATGTAAATAATGTAAATAATTTAGTATTTATATTCAAAATTGCAAATCAAATCAAATTAACTAAATAATGCATAATTTATTTATGGGTTGGGTCAGATCTATGCGGATTTATCTATTGAATCCTTGACCCAACCCAACTCGTGAATTATAAAGATGACCCGCTCAATCCAACCTATTATATCTTCAAACCCGTCGAATCGGGTTGGATTAGATTGGGTTGGGTCGCTCGAGTTGGGTCGGATTATATCGGGTTATGTGCAGGTCTAACTTAAACACTTAAACAGATTTACGCAGTCCTTGAAGTTTCGGCTTAAACAATTCATGTCGAGCTTAAGTAGCTCAAACACCTCAACGGACTTAAGCAACTCGAACACTTAAACAAACTTAAGCAATCCTTGAAGTTCAAACTTAACACTTCATGTCGAGTTTTAGCAGCTCCAACAATCAAACAGACTTAAGCATGTTGAATAATCTTTAATATAGCCCAGATCTATTGTTCATAAAATTTGTTTGACAAGAATATATAATAATCGGAAGCGTACCTTGAGCCATAACGACAGATCTATGTTATGGGTTACCTCGTTGCGGCAATTCGATTTTGCGGCAATTCGATTCTCACTGTAACAACAGATCTACGTTTTTCTTCATCTCTGGCCTTTTGTTCCGTAAGTGCTCTCTTAATGGTCAAAGAGAATAATCAACAGCTGCGGGAGTTTCTTTTATGAGCTCTCTCAAACAAACTATCCTCCGTATGTGTTTGAGGGAGATGTCACATCTCTTTGTTTCTTGTGTTTAACCTAATTGTTGATTCTTTATCTTTTATAAAGGCAGAAGGAAGGGGGTATTAAAATCCTAACTGGCTCTTATTCCATTAACCCAATAACCATCATCCTTTGGGGCCACCTTAATTAGAACCAGCCCTTTAATCCACGACGGGCCACATACAAGATTATTAAATAATCTAACATATCTCGCACTTAGCCCATGTGCATTTCTTGAATCTAATTATGTTTACCTTAATTAGAATTAGATGAATCGGATTATGGGCGGTCACAAGTCATTAATCGACATTGATTTCCTTCCATAATATCACAGATCAGTTCAATTCATAAAAATTTAGTGGAGAAAACTGATTCACAATAATACATTGTTATAACTGTTATTGTTATCTCTCACTCAAACCATTAATTGTATACATCTATAATGTGGATAACATAATTAAGTCTAATTATACTATCACTAATTTTGACCTAAGGCCTACAATATATGAGCACACCATACGTATATATATATATAGTATAATATTATATATAATATATTTTTAATTATTAATATTTATATTATTATATATATATATTATACAGTTTTAAACATCAAATGCTAAAGGACTTTATCTATAATGCCCATCCTATCAACATGGCCAGTGAAGATTTTTGGGTGGTAAAGCCTCTAGTTAGCGGATCCGCATATAATGCAGATCAAGTACCGATATGCTCCAATTGACACTTTGTGTTTTTGCACTTTTGCACTTCTTCTTTCACAGATAGGTACTTTAAATCCATGTGCTTTGCACCCTTAGAGTACCTATCATTCTTAGAGAAGAAGACAGCTACGGAATTGTCACGGTTTAGTTATACTGTCGACAATGCCTAGACCTGAGACAAAGTTCCGCAACCACAATGCATGAACAGTGGCCTCAAAGCATGCCATAAATTCAGACTCCATAGTGGAAGTAGCAATGACAGACTGCTTTCCACTTTTCCATGATATTGCTCCTCCGGCTAGAAGAAACAAGTAGCCAAATGTAGACTTTCTTGAATCTACACAACCGGCATAGTCTGAATCCGAGTATCCCACCAGTTCTAGCAACCAGTTTCTAGATGGGCTGGACTTGTCTATAGTGAGTATATGATCTTAGTGCCTTTTGTAAATACCTAGTACTTTCTTTGTAGCTTTCCGAAATGGTCCATCCCGGGATTACTTTATACCCCCCTAGACATTCTACGGCGAAATAATATCCGGCCGAGTACATGTCTGAACATACATTAAGCTCCCCAACCGCTGACGCATATGGAATAGACTCCATTCTTTTATGTTTCCAAATCATTTTTAGGACATTGCATTTCGGCTGAAACCTATCCCGTTCTGAATTGAAATATTTCCTGCGGAAGCATTATTTCATTCTGAATCTCTCAATACCTTATCAATGTAAGCTCTTTGAGAACAATCCCTAACAGTCCTTGTGATCTATCACGGAATATTTATATTCCACATCACAAAGGATGCCTGCTTCTCCATATCCTTTCATTTCAAAGTTTATTAAGAGAGGAAACCCCTTTACAATCATGGCAAACAACCAACATCATTCGCAAGCAAGAAGAGATGTCATCACATATAGGACTAAATGATACGAAAATCGAGACCGACTCAACCATAAAGCTCAAGGCAAGGCATGGAGGGCATCTTAAGTTTCCTCACATTATTGCACATGTTGAGATGGAACCTGAATTTCCAACATATGGCATGTCTAGACAGTGCTATGTTAGCACTCCCGTGCAAGGTGGCACGCCCAAGACCGTGCAAGCCTCTGACTTACCAAGGAAGATTAAGTTGCATGAAGCACACCCGTGCCAAATAGCACACCCAAGAAGCACGCCCGTGCAAGGTAGCACGCCTCAAACCGTGCACTTCTTTGCCTCTCGCGAGGGACACACAAACATGCGCGCACGCCCGTGCCAAGCATCACGCCCCAGGCCGTGCACTTCCCTGCCTCTCAAATATTAGTTAGCTTATTTTGTGTTTTTGCAATGCTAATGGGTTGGGCCTCCAATATTTCGGCCAACTGTCATGCCTCTCATTTTAGTTTAGCTTATTTTGGTGTTTTGTTGCAATGCTAATGGTTGGGCCTCCAATATTTCGTCCCCCTTTCGTGTGGAATATTAGCCTTAATTTTGATTAGATTTAGTCCAATCTTTAGTGGATTGGATTAGCATCTCCAAATCCTTAAGTTGTTTATGATTTTATTAGTCCTTATACTTAAGTTGGTTTAGATTTGCCTAAATCCTACTTCCTTAGCTTAAGCTCTAAATCCTTTTAAGGATCTGGACCCTCTTAGATTAGTTCAATAGCTTGTTATTATTGTAAATATAAATCAATTATTCAAACTCAATTAAAAGAGAAGGTTTTTTCTTCTTCCATGCCTTTTGCGTGTTTCATGTTTTTAAGAGTGTGAGATTGCATTCTTCTAATTGCATCAGAATCAAGGTAAACTTATTCAAATTTCTTTGTGGGCGTTTATCTTATTCTTTTACTCTATTATTGGTGTTCTCGCTTTCTTTTAAGCTTGGGTGCCATAGAGGGGAGTTTTATTCTTTAGATTCTTTTGATCTCTTCTCCCAACTTGTTTCCATTGAGTTTCGATGAAATTTATTTTCAATTGGGTTCCCGCGCGTTCAACTAACATAATGAGCTTGTACTGGACCCTTCAATATAAATATCCTGATCAAACAGTTGTTTTCCTATAAAACCATAATATGAAGTGATTATTATTGGAACTTAAAGATACCATTGACGGAGCTTGCCTTCAAATCCATATATTGGACTTCTTTAACTTACACACCAAGTTTTCCCTTTCCTGTAACTCACAAAACCCCTCTGGTATGGTCCCAATATATACTTCATTCCTCTAAGTCACCATTAAGAAATGTTGTCCTTTCATCCATTTGGTGAAACTCTAGATCATCAATGAGCCACCAAAGCCAA